CGCCTTGTAATTACTTTTTCCGTGAGTTTTATGTGAGAAATATTCGTATATTGGGATATACCACTGATGATGACGCGAAATATCTACGCGCAATGCGTATTTGTTGTAACTTTTTTACTGGAACTTCATGAGTGTTCGTCAACAGTCATTTAAAAGCATTTCATGTTCAAATACCAAAATCGTGGCGACGTGGTTCTGTTTATGTAACAGACAATTGTTTCTCTTTTTACAAGATGATATTCAATGTTTGTACCAAAATTCGTAAGCCATTATTACATAGAATTCTTAGGAGCCTATCGAAATCCTTAATGGAATCAAGTTTAGCCGAAAGTCGTAGGATTTGGTAGGATTGTGTTAGAATTCTCACAGGATCACTGTACAGTCTTAGTATTTCAAAATCATCTCAACTGATCTAAAAATATTATAAATTGGCAAGAGACGTTCAAAACATAGGCATTTCTACATAGTTTTAGTCATTTCTGTGGGGATCGAACATCGTACATTAGTGAGGAAGCAGGGTAAAGTATACGGTTGTTCTCATCAATTAGATTTAGCTTGTTTATATCGTCCGATATTATTGTTATTAACAAATCCTGAATTCCACTGACGTTGCTATTTCGATATGATAAGTATAGAATAGAACACTGGAAACAACGTACAGTCTATTTACTCTAAATACTTTTATACTGTTTAAGAAAATAATGAAATTAACGGCAGCGTAAAACATATTTAAAGTTTATCAACGTTAAATGGAAAACATTTGAGCCGTTGACTAATTAGTGGTCATTTTAAAGGCAAAAACCATCTAGAACTGATTTTTAATAAAGTTCAGACACTTCTGTTTTATATGTTTTAGTAGTGTAATAGTTTATAAAAAATATTTTTTTCGAAATAGAGATAATGTCACTAAAAACCCATTGTCTTGAAACAACAAGATAAAAACATTTGGTATGAGATCATACTTGTTGCCAAATGACTCAGATAAAACAAAAAACATATATATATATATAGTGTAGATCAAGATCTTTTTTGTTTAAGAGTTAAGAGATAAATGAACAATTATCTGCGAATAGAATCTGCTGGCGATTGTGGAGTTACTGTGAGCAAAGCTATGTTCGAAACTTTCACAAAACTTTCTCCAAATCGCACAAGATCACAATGTCGAAGATAAGCTTAAATTCCTCAACTGGTTTTTGTCGGTGAAACCTCTACCGGCAAATCAATGTTAGTTCAAAATTTTCTTCATTTTCCCTGTTCGTTTTCGCAATTGAATGTGGCTACGCGGTGTCCGATTGCCTATCGTCTTGGGTATAATCCAAGGTTAAAAGACGGAGAGATCCGGTTTACTCAGCCGTTTGATCTTAAAGCTCAAGATTTAGGCGAACAGTTGAAAGAATTGATGGCTCAAATTGAAATGACACACCGAGATACAGGCGGATTCCGGTTGGAACTGTACATTATCGAAATCGACGGTAATGAATATACGGACTTCGAAATTTTAGATGCACAATGTCATAGACACTGAGGCTAAAATGCATCAGTGGAAAGAGCGTAAAAGAATGCACTCAACATAACTATCCTTAAGGAGCTGTGTGGAATGGATGATCGGTTAAGCTTGCCCGATCCGAAGGATTGTATTTTTCACGCCATACATGAGCCCTGCTCGCTTTGCCTTTTAGCTCTAACCGGAGATAGCTACGATAATTTCTATTATCTCTTCAGACGCGAGGATAGCCCCGACAGCTTCAACATTCCGCACGATATCCGAATTTTCAATAATATGACGCAGTCGCACAAAATCAGATTATAATGTTAAGTTTTTCTAGATTTTATTGAGACTGATCTTAGAGCGTGGATCGGTCATCCTAAAAGATCATATTTTGATTCAAAATAATCACGCATATGATTGTTATCCGTCTTCCTATTGCGTAGCTGCGACCACTTCTTGATAAGTTGGTGGGGATGGTTCTCGGATAGCAGGCGTGGCAATCGGTGGGGGCGTAATAATATGATAGATGATACGTGGTTGATTTTGAGACGCTACTCTGTCAACTTGACGAAGAAACCGTGCTCTTACTTGTTGTCGTCGATAGACGCGATAATAAATACTGCATGCACACATACCGATCCAAATAATAATTCCGAATATCAACATTGCAGTATCGTTGTCCCTCATCGATCCACTATTTGTACAGATCAAGTGTCTCGCCACACGTCTATTTAACACGATAAAAGAGCATAGTAAAAAACAAAAAAGGAAGATATTCATCCTTTACCGCATCAAAACCTCCCGTAGTAATCGTTTACACAGCGTCAACCTACATCAGGTTTGCATGGCAATAGAAAGTAGTGACGAATCCTGCTCTGAACATCCAATTAGGAACATAATCCATATGTATATTGAAAAAACTATAAATAATTTGCTCAATAGGTAAGACGAAAGATGTTTTGTAAAGGTTCAACATACAAAAGAAAAATATATATCAAATTCTGACTGAGTAAATTTTCTTACGAGTGAACATTCGTGGGTGATACACACCGCTCTTTGCCCAAACTCTGCTGTTCAATAGGGCCACTGGTATAGGTAAAAAGCCTAAAAGGGTTTGATTTATGTCATTGCTGCTTAGTTCCAGAGAAATCAATGAAATAAGTTTT